AAAAATGTTATGTGCCCCAGTAGCTTCCCATTACAAACTCCTGGATCCTGTATGAGCAGAGGGTAACATCTGAAAATATATTACTGCCTCCAAAATCACCCCAGTCCCATAAGTAAGGAATTCCAAAAGAGGAAAATTCAAAAAAGTATCAACATGAAGACAGAGCTGTTGATGATCCATCTCTTTTCCTTCCCAAACTGAGGCAGATCAGTCATTTCTGGGCACTCATCCAGGGTAAATAAGGCTACAGTCAGATTTTTACGGTGAAAAACAGCTTAAGAATTTATCACATCACCTCAGCTGACGGAATAATACCTGTCGTCAAAGCTAAGCGCCCCGTGTGGGGCTGGAGCTGAGCACATGCCTGCCCGCCAGCTCCTCCCGGACACGGCAAGTGGCATCGGCCCCCCCCAGCCTCCTCCTCTGCCTGCTGTGGAGGAAGGATCCGACGGGTAACACTGTAATGTATGAAGCAATGTTGAACTTAAAGGAGGTGCTCACTGTCCTCATCCTGGGACAAGGGAATGCTCTTTTTGCTGGAGCCATGACTGAAACGTGTGCAAGACATGCTGGTTTTATATTTTGAGGCTTCAAGCTATTAATATGCGTTTAAAGATAAATGTTGATCGATATAAATGGATTGTTTACACTGAGTTCTCTTGCCTTAGGGCAAATGTGAAATATGGCACCATTGCATTGCAGGATGTCAACAGACGCAGTGGCTTGTTTCAGGGAAGCGTTCAGATGTCTTGGAGTATCACCTACACACCAGATTGTTGGGTTTTGTTGCCACGCTTAGTGTTAGCTATAACATTCTCTGTGCCCATGTACTTCTGATTTCCCTCGATAACTGGCTGCTGCCACAAAATATCCCCAGTTCCTGTTGCTATTATAACATTTAAATGACATAGTGCGGTCAAAACAGACCATTTGTGCTGACAAGAATTTTGCATTAGTGTACGGTTGAGGTGTCAGCCTTCAACAGAAGAAAAGACCCAGTCAACAACATCCATCTTCCTTACAGTTTATTTCAAGTTCATCTATCTAGGGCAACCATCCACTCTCTTCCATCTTTTAGAGAGGCTGACAGAAATCAGATAAGTTGGAAACTCTCTGAGGAGTGAAATTCATCCTGTGTTGACAGCACGAAAACACATGACAACATCCCTGATCATAGTATGGAGCCCACCCAGTGCAGAGAACGTATTAGAGGTTCTGGTCTCAGAGCAGTGTTGTCGCTGATTTGCTTAACAGTATTTTTTATATAAATATATATTTATATTATATCAAAACACAACTGAGATAAACAGAATTTATGTATATATATATATATCTTGATAAAAAGTGTGTGTGTATATATATATAATATATATATAATACCCTTCAGACCAGTATTTGAAAGAGTCCTCTCTGTGTCAAGTCTTTCAAGTGAGCCACAAAATTGCGGAAATATCAAGACTGAATATTAATAAAAGGTTGCAACAAGAGGCTTTACAAGCTCCCTGCTTAGCAGTGTTAGTGCTGTGGCCATATTTGAAAGTTCACTCTGTATTTTTTTAATTGCATTTAATCTGTGCCTCACCACAATAGTCTGAGGACCTCTTTAAGGAAAGACAGATTAGTAAGGAGGTAAGAAGACCGAGTAGATTATCCATGGAAAGTGTAGCATTTAATAAGTGATATAGCCCTGAGTGATGAATATTTCAGGAAGGTATCAGGGTGCATTTGAAATAACCTTATGGAAGAGCCATTGGCCATAAATTAAGTCAACAACTTGTTTGTGCACATTTTTAAAATCTGGAAGAGAGTTTCCATGATCTCTCCTAGGCACCACATGATTGACAAGGTCAGCATAGTTTTCAGACTGCTTGCATAAATACATCAATGTCTTTGAAAAACGATCTGAAATTCAAAATAGAAAGAGTCAGTCCTGAGTATCCATCGCAGTAGGTATCTCACCTATACTGTAAATCCTGGCACAGCTGTTCCAGAGATTGACACTGGCCAGTCCTAACAGCGGGATCTCCAAGGTCCAGCACTACTCTGGTGCTCATATGTGGAAATCCCTAGATGGCTAAACAGCAGCACTACTGTGCTAATCAAGTTCTTGGTGATCAAAATCTGTTTAATTGAGATCATTAGATTTGAACCCAGAGAGGTAACATAAATGGAGAAACCTAGAGATGTATTTCTGAAGTTTCTTCTGGGGAACAAACTACCATCAGGTACATGGCCCTTTAGGAAGCTGTTCTGCACTCATTCGATTGAATCCTACTAAATGGAATTAGGAAAAACCAGCTAGAACAGATAATGTATTTATTCCCTCCTCCTGGGTCACTGCCCTGATGGAAGGACTCCTACTAGCTTGCAGCCCGCCTATTAATATGGAATCACTGCAGCTACTCAGTATTAAAACTGCAAGTTTTTCATATAGCATATCATACCTGTGCTTCAACAAATGATATTATAATCTTGCAATTTATTGCATATTTTCATATATGTATGTGGGTGTATAAATGTATGTATTTATGCATGTATTTGAGTCAGATAGATATACACACATAAGTGTGACTGTGGGGTCTGTAGCAGACAATCAAAGGTATCCAGGTGCCACAGAATTTGTGGTGAAAAGAATTCCTATTGAATTTACTAATGGCTAAAAGCAGGATTTTGCTGCATGCCTTCAGCAGGGCACGTAGTTAGTCACAGAACCTGATGCTACATCTCATCCGAATGGTGCTGCAGAACATGAGAAGAATCTATTTGTTCCAATTACGGGACTAATTTTTTTCTTACTTTAATGGATGTCCACAACTTACTGAACTAACACCCAGCAGCAATAACATAAGAGATTAGGGAAGATCTTTAGCTGTTGAAAACTGGTGATGCTCAGAGAAGTCAGCAGGGTTTTCCCAGTTTCGAGGCATCTTGAATATCTATTACAAGAATTAATTACTAAAAATCTGTTCAGAAACTGCTGCAATCAACCCTCAACATGCAGAACAAATCCACTTATTTTTTTTCTTCATGGGGTAAAAATGCCCTCTTCAAGACTGGTACATCTTTTCTTGAAGAAACTGCTAACTTTCTTCCAGCTACCCTGCTTTACTTTTTCCTCTTCATCTAACACAGAGCCCAATAGACAACTGCTCACACTTTCGGCAGACTGAGGTCAAGAAGGCCTGACATGGTTGTTCCTCCCAACACTATACAATGCTGCACTGAAACTTCCTGGTCTGCCTATAAAATGCTGTAAACACTGGGGAGGCATAAAAAATAGTATGTGTACCTGCTCATATCTGTAAAATAACTGATGAACGAAGAAAAATAGCTTGAACTTCTTGAATATTTTGAACTTGAATATTTTGACTTCTTGAACTTTTCTGGCTAGTATTTTTGTTATTTCTGAGATTACAGTACAGTATAAAGACCTATTGAAAATAGTGGGTATTCACTTGTTAATTGAAGTGTCGTTCACAACTGCTGAGGAATATCAAAAACCAGGGGAGGAATAAATGTTTGTGTGCATGTATTTACCTACCCACACTTGTATGTGTGTAGCTATAGAAGTTACAAACGGAGAGAGAGCTGTATTAAGAAGTTTGGGGGGAACTGACATCAGGTCAAAAAGAGATTTGTCACAATGGAAAAGGAGCTGCAGTGAATTTAGTTCTGTGCATGCAATGAGGAAACAAAAAGGTTCCCATAAACAGAAAGCATGCACTGTGGGGGGAAACCTCTACCAATTTGGGGTCTGTTAATCTCTTCTGTTTTTAAATCACTGTATGATTCTGGTGGCCAGGCCAAAGATGTCTTGCTGAGTGCAGTTACTAAACATTTCTTCTTATTCTTATCTCAAGAAGAGGATGCACTTTAAGTTATTTAAGTGCCTAGGGACATTGTTTAACTATAAAATGTTTACTCTGCTCCTGTCTACATTCACTAGGCAGGAACACAAGAATTCTCCACTGATTTAGCTGAGCTGATCTACTTCTTTTCTGCATCAGTGAAGCTGAGCTGGGTACAGATGTGCCCTTAACTTACTTCTTAATCTTGGAGGTCTAAAAAAAATAAACACATTATGGTTCTGGGGACTGACCAAAGTCTAGTTAACTAGAGGAATTTTCTGTCTCAATAGCAGGAGGAAATTTTATACAGATTCAGTGAAGCATCCCCTAGGGATGACACTCAGTGAACAGAAGAACATCACTTTTCTACTGGGTCACTTGTTTTAGTTATATATAAAAATATTTCCTTTTTCCAGCAAACCAGATAGTTGTTTTAACTATTGTCTCAGATGCTTTATTTCTACAGATGTTCGAATGCTCTCTTTGCGTGATGCTTGGTCCTTCAGGCAGTCCTGTTATTTTTCATTGTAACTTCAGTAGCTGGTGTTACCATACCCAGAGAGTTGGTTGTTCCAGATATAATTGCTGGTCTCAAGTTCATCAACAGAGTTCGCTTCGAAGCTCCCCGCTCTGAAGCTCCCCACTAAGTTTTTGCATGGATGAAGCTGGTTTGATATGTTTCCAAGGCCTGAATGTATCAAACTGCTTTTGAGGTTCTGTTAAAAAAGGGGGAAATAGTTCATTTTGAAAGGTGTTATTTGGGGTGCCCATGTTTTGTACAGATCTTCATACATAAAGGTTGGATGGCTTAACATTTGACTATATCCTCATTCCATTTCTTTTACGAGGATAATTAACCTTTGTAAAGATTCACGGTATACTGATGTTAAGAGTCTTTGCACAGAAAAGCGCCCAATATGTTAGGACATAACTAAAGACCACGGCAACTAAGAATGTGGTTTCATGATCAGTTTAAATAAAGTTCATACTTCTGGCTTCTGCTAAATTCTGCCTTCTGCCCTCAGGCATGTTCCCCTGCCCATTTTCTTGTGTCAATGCCAGTGCTTGAGGGGCTGTACAGCCAGCCAGATGGGGGAGCTAATAAAGCTAATAATTTATTTTGCCATCTAATAATTTATTTTGTTTCGACAGAGGTAGTTTTCGCCTGGATCAGCTCTCTGACCAGTCCACCACTGTTGCATCCAAATTACAAGCCAGCCTCAAGGGTAAGATGCTAGACCAAAAACAAGCATTAAAGGTTTATTTCTCTTTAATGGTAATATATACCTATGCAGCGTTATCAATTCTACATACCAGTCCCGAAGCAGTGGCACCCACACAACCGGGGTTTTCTGTTGCAGCCTTAAATACGTAACATAAATACGCCTCCACCTGTGCTATTGGCTGTGGGAAGTTTGCATGGACTGCTTCCAGATCTGTGTTGGTAATTGGCCGTTTGTGTTTATAGCCCTGGGGCTGCTGCTATCATCCTGTGCCTGTAGTTTCAAGGCCTCCGATATCATGCTGTGCTCTTGGGAGGGCCCACCTGCACCTCTCCTCTCTACACGCATGCTTCATCCACGCAATGACGACATGTACGTGTCCGTATATATGTATAACCCTTCCGCAACTATTTGTTATTACGCTCCGTGCAGTTATAGCAGCGCTACGGGTATGTTAACAGAGCTGTTTTGCAACATCCCACAGCTCACCGGCCGGGGTAGGGGTGCAGGCACGCACCCCAGGGTGCAGGAAGAGCAGACCTGCTCCTTTCAGCTTAAGCAAATTGTCAGACCGCACCTCGAGTTTCAAAAGCGCAGCACAGAACTGCTGGGAAATGGTAGGTCTTTTAATGAAAACCTGTGAGAGAAATGAAAAATAGTTGTTTTTTTTTTTTGCTAAGAAAAAAACCCCTCTGTTAAGAGTTTTTTCTGTTAAGTTTTTGAACAGTGAAAGGTCCGTGGTATTTGTTTAAAAGAGGAAAAACGTGAGAGAATGTTTCATTTAGGGAAAAGACAACCTTTCACTGGAAGCAATGTAAGGTTTTGGTGAGTGTTAACGAAGAATATGCTCCGTTGTTTCCTCATGGTATCAGCCTGTGTATTTGAGGTGCTGAAAATCAGTGGAATTCTTGTGTGTCAGTCCGTGACAGGATACTCCCGCTCCCCACTCATATCGTATGTCTTTGCGATACCGTTTGTCTCTGAATAATTTGTTTTGATTTATGTAGCATGACTTCTCCTCAGCTAAAACTGCTGGCTAACAAGCTCTATTACTTTGTCATGTCTTTTATATGCCTATGTTGCTGGAACTCTAATTACTCATGATGTATACTGTGTCGCTATTAGAATTTTTATGTTGCTATTAGAGTTTATATATTGTTATAGTGCTTCCTACTAATCTAAGCCTCCTAATTGGAAGGGTTTCAAAGCCTACATGTGCTAATTAATCTCTATTAGCAGAACAGGAAATCTGGAACGTTCAGTTTCTCCCTTTACCATACTTTAAACAAAATTGTTTATAAGGGTGTGTATGTGTGTGAGACACACACACAAATAAGGGAATATTGTAAAAAGAATAGTTTGTCTAGTAAGCCTATAATTATTATTATTTTTTTGTCAGTTTTGATCTGTAAGTATGTGCGTGTGAGATGCTTGAGAATGTCATGCCTTTATACCGGGCTTGAGCAGTTTATCTGACTCTGCAAAGTTGTGGGCCTGAGGTGGTTACAAAAATGAAGTGGGGAGCTACTTGTAGCTTGAGCAGAGGCAGTTTACTCAGCAGCAGTCCAGAACAGATCAGTCCAAACCCTGCTACCAACAATTTCTGTTTTTTTTTTTAAGGCAGGAAGAAGGACAGTTTTGTCTTTCAGAAAAGCTTTAGCTCCTTACACAGTGGTCACTGGAAGGGCAGAGGGGGACTCGCTTGCTTCCAGTCCTGGAGTTGCCTGGCTGCTGCAGGGTGTCTTCTGCAGTGGTATCAGCTACTGGTAGTTCTTCAGTGGTATTAGCCTGCTGTGGAAACGGAGGCTCTCTACCCTTCTCTTGCTTTACAAATAAATGGTTTTATCAATATAGCTGTACCAGTTAGGAGTGTGAAGAAGAAATCTCACCCTTCTTGGATGTAACTTTACAAAGAAAAGCCCAGGTACAATTGCACTGGAAAAGGTGATGAATTTTCCTCCAGAAAAGGGTTTTCCTGCATAGTGGAATAGGAATCCTTATTGGCAAATGATGTATCTCTACCATTGCACGTTCTGGTGATCTCATGCTGTAACATTTTCCTTTCATGGAAGTTCAGGGGGAAACTCCCCTGAAATGCCCGGTGCCAGGATTTTAACTCTTGTTGCTACAGTTACCGAAAACATTGCAAGATATGCTTCTTCTGTATATTCCTGCTAAAACACAGGTCCCGGGGACAGGAAAATCTTATTGTATCTTATCTTACACAGTTCATTGATTGCAGAAGAACAAAGCCGAAAACTTAAATCTTTTAAAAATTGCCCCCAAAATTTCATAATGAGTAATAGCTTATAAATTTATGATTTGAAAAGGTCTAAAAGGGTGAATATGGTTGTATGTTAAAAATTAGGATTTATATTTTCTGCTTAAAATGTGTATTATCTCACAGAGCATCTGCCAGCGCCAAGATAGTCAGAAGACGGGAAACGTCATATCTTATCGCTTTCCTCCTTGGTCAACTAGCAGCATGTCTAAACTCACTCAAATTCCAATCTAAATCATGATTCCAGTAGACAAAATTATACAGCTGTGATCTAGGAAAGTACATATACAGATGTTGCAATATCATAATGTTAAAAATTCTGCATGAATATTTGTATGCAGGAAGTCATGAAGGTCTGCATCTATCTTTGGGACATTAGTAGTGAGTGAATTTGCTGTTGAATATGCAGAAATATGTAGTAAAACCCTTGCATGTTGAAGCAACAGGCAAAACTTCAATCAATGAACCTAGTTATTATCCATAAAAAGCATTAAGATGAAAGTAAAATGAACTTAATATCTCTTAGCAATCCAGCAAAGGAGTAAATATAACAATATTTTATTCAGTGAAAACTATCCTGTAGAATTATATAGCAATATATAGTAATGATCCAGAACCTGCTCCTTGATAAATTACTGTATTTGGGTGAGTAAAGAGAGGGTATTGCTGGATACTTGCTGGATAAATGATGGCTGATACAAATTTAACCTGATGTACGCTGCCCATGCTATGCTGTGGGGCTTTTTTGTTTGTAATTTTCTGCCTCTAAAATATTTGTTGTGAAAATCAGGCACTTGGAAACTTTATGCCAATTAGACATAATGGCGGTTTGGTTTTTCGGCTTAGTTAATGTTAGTCTTTCGAGTCCTTATCACCCGGATCAGATCTGAATGTCATATATTTAGGTCTGGCAGACTGAAAAGTAAACTGGAGGAAACTTTCTGTTTTTATTATGCTCATATTAATTGGGCTCTTCAACATATTTATCTCATAATGCCTGATTAACCCACCAAATAACATACTTTACACAGTTCGCTGTTGATGTAATTTTAAAGAAGAGCTTTCATACTGGAGTAAATTAGATTTAGTAGAAGCATTCTTAGAAGACTAGTGGTGGTCCACTTTGAGGAAACTTGGGCTTCATGTTCCTGTAACTTGCACCACTGTAAATAGAGTCAGTGCAGTGAAACCAGAGGGGTTGTGGCAGTTTTCCAGTGTTGTAACAACATTCACTGGGAGGAGGTGCTAGTTTACTTGTATAATCATTAATTTTTCTGTCCTCTCATAATCCAACTATGTTTTCTGGTTGCCTAGCAAAGAAGTCCTAATCCTGGGTTTGACATCGTCTATCAATACAAAAATAATTGATGTCACGCATTCAGAATTACATAATTTATACAGCGCCACAGCCATGCAATGCACTTCATAGACAAATAAAATTGACGGTTTCCTCTCCAGCAGAATGTGCCATCTCTGCCCGCAACCATCAGCCACACACTGTGAGTCAGGGTGTCTGTGAGCCATACAGCCATAAAGCCGTAGGACGAGAGCTGTGTTACTGTTCTCCTACTGCTTTTAGGAGCTCAGACGTCATCTGTACAGCTGCTCACATGATTTCAAAAGTGCTGTGTGCACATCTCCCAGTGGTGGCTTGAGGTGGCACTTCCTGAGAGCGATTCCTGTGCCTGTGGGCTATATCTGGACTAAGGTTGTGACTTGCTTGTTTTAATTTGGGATAAAAGGTCCCCTTCGTGTAACCACCAGCATATGCAGTAATAGGCAATTTAGGCTGTGTGTCTTCTGGCTGTGGTGTGAACTGTTTGGGTGCAAGTTCACGCTGATGTTTTGGAGTGGGGTACGCCTTCATATGCCGTAGAGATGAGCTGAACATGGCCCTGGCTGCTGCTCTTGGTCCTGCATACCTCGTGGCAATATCAAAGCGATTGAATCTGGACAGACAGGATCTTTTCCAGAAAGGCCCCAAATCACATACTATGAGGCAGAAGATTTGTAAGCTGATGAGCAACAAGCATTCACATTGTCCAAAGGAGAACTGTGTACTTTAGCCTCTGCAGTACTGGTCACCTTTAAGATGAATAGAGAAGTTCCAGGCCAGTTTTCTTGGGTATAAAGAGCAGCTGTCATTTACCTCTGCTAAAAGCATGACTCTTATTCACAGCATTTAAAATGGAAAAGACTGCTGCCATCCCATATGTGCTAAGACTATTTCACCATTGCTATCACTGTCAGCAGCAGCAGTGAGGAATTACTTAGCAAAAATTTCCTTAGCTGAAGAACAAGGAAACGGCCTGGACCTGCATCTCATCTCAAAGCAGGGAACCAAGTATGGTGGGCAGGGGAAAGAAAGAAGAGGGAGGACTTCTGTCACCCTCATTTGGATTTTTTCATTTGTTTCTCTATCCTTCACCCTCTGTCAATGCCTCTCACTAAGACACAATGATAGTCCTAGCTTAGGAGTTTCTTCCTGTGTAGAAAATGGGTGCTCACAAAGTGTGCAAGTCTGTCCATCCTGGGACCACATATGGGATGAAAAGGAGAGGAGCAGAGAGAAGAGGAGTGGAGAGGAGAGGAGAGGTGCGGAGAGGAGAGGAGGGGAGGGGAGGGGAGGGACAGGGACAGGTTTAAAATTTTAGTTTGACATCTGAATGTTCATCAACATCAGACCTTCCTAAAGAAAGTTACTGCCTGGCAATGCAGTCTG